TTTGCGTCGAAGGTTCCCAAGAAAGACTATCGTCTTTAAAAAACACTGATTAGAACAACTGAGTGGGTCACTGTTGTGACAGACACCAGCTAATTTGCTGCGGCTGCTGCCCCAAGGGAGCCGCCGCCACTGGTTTCCGGTTATCTGTCCCCGCCCCGTTGCGCTGCAGCGGCCGCAACTGACCCTACGGCTGACTCGCGCTCTCTCATAGAAAGCCGCTCCACGCGGCAGGCCGTACCGTGCGCTTTTAGATGCGGAGCATCTTATACTCGCGCCTTGTAGTGCGCCGTCCGCACCGCTTCTCGAACATTCGACAGCTGACGCGCGCGCATGCGCCGTCGCCCACTCTTCCACCATCTGTGCATCCCTTCCTCCTCTACACACCGCGCGCGCTTCACTCCTCCACCATCTGTGCACCCTTCCTCCTCTACACACCGCGTTCGACATCTACAATTCTCCTGATTCTCCAGTGGACGCGCATGTGGCGTCGCGCTTCGAGAACACTCAACAGCTGACAGTGCATGCGCCGTCGTGCTGTATATATACTCAAGGTCGGCGCTCGCTCGCTCAGTTGCCGCTCGTCGGTTGGTTTGTACGGCGCGTCGACGTCCAAGGTCGCGGTGAAATGAATTCCAACGAATCCTCAAACACAATGATCGACGTCCCTTCGACCAGCGCCGCCCTTTCGCATACGTGTGTACGTGTTCACTCATTTAACACCCCCTCCTACAACCACGTTAACCAATTTAGCCATCGACCCAAGTAAGTCGCAATTTAACACCCCATTTCACAACCACGTTAACCAATTTAGCCATCGACCCAAGTAAGTCGCACTTTAACACCCCGTTAACCAATTATATGGTCCACATCCTCCTCAGTGTTCCCCCGAGGGAAGCTGCGGGCAATTTTTTTCATCCAGCGGCCGTGCATGTGCGGGCGCGCGAGGCAGAAGCGTGCCGTGAAGCTGCGCGGCAGCGCCGACAAGATTTTGGCGGGCGGCTGAAGCGGCGCGGAAGCGGCGTGCGGACCCAGTTCGCTCGTTTCTCCATCATTCACCCTTTGGATATGCTGTCATTTTTTTTTGCCAAACTTTAACGTGCAGCGCCTCTTCTTCTGTACCTGGCAGTCTAGGCTTGAGAATCATTTGAGCATTGGCTTCTTAGCCGAAGGCATTGAACTTGCCGGCCCATCTGAAATATTTAAAAGTGGAGCGAAGCGCGACAGCATGTGGCCTCATGCGCGCCACCTGGCTGGCGATACCTCCGATTTCTCATCAACTCACTATTACAGTGCAAATAACGTCAACCGAAAGATGAAGTATTTTCGTTCACACTATACATCACGCCATTTAAATATATTGCAGCTCTCGTTAAAAAAGCGAGTGGCAACATCTTTATGCCTATCTTTTACGACAATGTAATTTCTCATTTACGCTAGGAGAAAATGAGCTTGATGTACACATTCACGTTGCGAAAGATCAACCCTAATGTTTTTAACCTTGATGAAGACACAACGACTAATAATTATTACAGGCATTCTAGACAACGCAGACGCGTCGAACTAAAGCATGTCGCGTTTTAACTGTTCCATCAATTCGGTTTTCCGGTTGCAACCGTTTTATTGAATAAAGAAATCGTTCTGATGCCGTAATTGTGTCATATATTTTGGAGTTTCTGGTGATCTGAAAATCGCGGAAATAGTCGCGCAAGAACTTTTCGGGAAGCGATGCACGTGTTCTGGCTACAAAAAAGTGTATGTGTTTTGTTCCATCGAACAAATAGCCTAATATGGCTCTGAACGCAATATGAAAATTTTCTATGTGGAATAACTACTTGCGAATAATGCACGTTTGAATAGCAAACACTATGTTGTTCACCTATACCAGCGTGCTTTATGAGGATCGACTTCAATTTTGAAAGCGTGAGATTCTTTCCACCAGTTATCATTTGTATGAACGGGCGCTTTTAGCCCAGTTAAGTGAAGACATCGACCCAGTCGATGTCGTCACCGCACAAAGGTGACGACATCGACTCATACGCCAACACGTTTACGGAACGCACGGAAGAAGCTAGGCAACTTGCACGTTTACGGAGCCGCCAGCAGCAAGAGTACGATGCAGGCCGCTACAGTGCTCACCGCAGAACAGTCGTCAATCAAACTGGCGGCAAAGTATAGGTTTGGACACCCTTACGAAAACGAGGACTTTCCGAAAAGCTTTTAAGAAGATATTTTGGGTCATACCGAGTGCTGCGACAACTGAGTGAGGTCACTTAAGTTGTTCCCGACAGTTCGTGCAGTACTAAGCGTCGCCAGCACCATCCTGAACTCGTTCACGTAGTGCGCATGAAGCCTTACGTCAGCAAGTGAATGCGTGAGACTTTTCTATAGAAAACTGCATTATTGACTTCGCATCAGGTCCATGCTCTTTGAGAGGGAGGCAAATGACCCGTGTCTGCGTGTGAACGACAACGATGATGTGGGGATTTAGCGGACACCAGGTAGTGGGCCTCTGGCTTGACTCGAGAGCAAAGACGACAATGTTGCGGCTCAGCTGTTGAGAACACGCTGATTTCGCTGCCCCAAGGCATACTTTTGCTTTGTTTGCGTTGTACTGCGACACTATACTTTTCTCTCCCACACACATTCTCTCTAAAGGTAAGCTGGTAGGCAGCGCAATAATCGTGGTGCAGTACAAAGTGTGCGTTCATTGTGATAACGCCATTCTCACTCTGTGCGATGGTGTGTGAAATGTCATCAGCAGCGTAAATATCAGTGCTAGTTGCAGCGCCAGCGCCACCACTGCGGAGCACAGGTAGGCTGGGGAAGCCGAACGTAAACGTAACCGTTGGCAAGCTGACCCCGATCTTTGTGCCAGTGAAGCCGATTGCAAACATCCATGTCGGCTGAAAACTTCTACAGAAGCAACATCAGATCGGTCCACTAAATTCTGTCAGCAACAACCACCACGGCGGGGCGTACGATTGCTCCACAAGGTAACGCTAGTCTTCAATTTTAAGGCCTTCAAACCTAAAGAAAACGATCAAGTTAAAATTCAGCTGTTTGCAGACGACTGCATACTTTACTCAGAAATTCGCAGCGAGATAGATGAGGCTGTCCTGAATTGATCTTTATTCGTTTTCGCTACGTGGTTCTTAGAATGTAATATGAACTTCACCCTAAATAAGCAGCTTCAATGATTACAATTCGCAAAAAGTGTTCCTTACACTTTGTATACGGTATGAGCTGTCTTAACCTATCATTTGTTACTGAATATAGGCACCATGGCCTAGTGATCACTTCGAACATTAGGTGGAATAGTCATATAGCTCGCATTTAAATAAAGCCACGAAAACGTTTGTATATCTGAGCAGAACCTTGTATTAATGTACTAGTAATATAATATTTTTGGCGTGCAAGACAATAATTATACCAATGTTAGAACATTTTACTTCGGTCTGGAGCCCTTGCACCCAGTCAACAGTAAGTAAAATCGAGAACTTATTGTGAAAATTAGAGTCATTTTCAATTCTTAATGCCGTCACACATCTGTTCGTGCTTTACTAAAGGACGCGAGCCCTGATACTATAAATATACGACGCCATCGAGACAGACTTGAAATATTACGCCAAATTCACCGTGAGCACGTCTAAGTAGACAGGGCCTCGTAGATCAAACCGTGTAGCTGGTGCTCTACCTATTCGTACGATTATGTGAAACTAACTGAATATTCCTGCCAAACCATTTTCAAACAGTCGGTTTTATTCTCGTGCTATCCACGAATTTAACGCAATGCCTGAATATGTACGGGAGAGAAAAATCATATCAATGTTTGTGCACGCTCTCACTAATCTATGATTGACGGCATGTAGCGTACTCGCCCTACGGAGGCACAAAAAGAAGGCACCAACACTCCTTGAAGTTTGGGACAAGACTAGTTTATTTTCCAAGAACAGGCTTCGAAAGCGACAACCAAAAGGGGTGTGACTGCGTATCTTCCACGGCCCTCCGGAGATAACGTTAGGCATGTTGGCCGCGTCTGTGCCGTGCGCCTCGGCGTACGAATTGGTATGCGCACACAAATAAAATTATCGCAATCACCGGCGTCATCGCCCGCTACAAGGGGTCCCCCCGTATACCGCGGAGCCTGGGAAAAAAAAACGAGCAAATGTGCAAGTTAGTCCATGAGGTGAGCCGGTTTCACGCGATTGAGAGAAACGACGTCCTCTCTGTCGCGAACACGAATGGTCACAGTCTTGTGCGACCGCGAAAGCTCACGGAAGGGCCCGTCGTATGCCGGAGTCAACGGCGCTTTCACTGTCACGTCGCATGAACACATGGGTTGCCTCATTCATGTCTGGGAAAAAAACACTCTTTGGTTACGGCTGACGAGTGGCGCGCTGGGTTGCAGGTGCTCCAACCAGGAATGTAGCCTTTCCATATGTTCTGAAGGCGTCGGCGTAGCGCTTGGTTTCTCACCAAAGAATTCTCCCGGTATTCAAATTGTAGAGCCGTACATCATTTCTGCTGCACAGAATCCGAGGTCTTTTATCGCCGTACGCAGGCCCAGAAGAACGAGAGGGAGCTTCTCCGCCCAGTGCTCTCTATCCTTCTAAAGATGCCTTCAGTTGACGGTGTAGCCACTTCACTATTCCATTGCTCACTGGATGAAAAGCCGTGGTGTACTGGTGCTGTGTTCCCAGAAGCATTGTCGGCGCAGAGAATAGGTTGCTCTGGAATTGCCATCCACGATCTGTCGTTATGCGCAGTGGGCAGCCATAGCGTGAAACCCATGTGGCCACAAATGCCTGCGCGACGGTCCCGGCTGCGATGTCCAAAATCAGCGTCACCTGGGGCCACCGTGAGTAGCGGTCGACACAAGTGAGCAGGTATCTGTAACCCTGGGAAGGAGGAAGAGGTCCCACCAAGTCCAAGTGCGCGTGGTCGAAACGACACTCTGGTGGCCGAAATGCTTGGAGTGCTCTGTGCGTGTGACGACTCACCTTGACTGCTTGACATGTTCGGCACGTCTTCGCCCAGCGTCGAACGTCGGCTTTAATTCCGGGTCACACAAAGCGGTCAGTGACGAGCCTCTGCGTCGCGCGGATTCCTGGGTGGCTGAGGTCGTGAAGGCTGTCAAACACTGCACGCCGAAACTGGACGGGGACGAAGGGTCTTGGGGATTTCTGCGATGTGTCGCGTGTGACCGTAGTCCTTGTGTATGGTAGCGGCATCTCTTCGAACACCAGTGAAAGTAGATTCTGCCTCATCTCGGTTAGCTCTGGGTCTTCTCGCTGGGCGACGGCTAATGTCTCAAAGTCGACGGATGCTGAAACGGTGTCGATACGGGAGAGTGCGTCAGCTGCTTGGTTTTCACTCCCCGCTATGTTGCGGATGTCCGTGGAAAATTCAAAAATGAAAGAAAGTTGGCGCAGTTCTCCTCCCGAATATGAAGAACTGTTGTTCTTGAACGCATACGTCAGCGGCTTGTGGTCCGTTAAAATGTGGAAAAACGGGCCTTCTAGGAAGAAACGGAAGTGCTTTACGGAGGAATAAATGGTCAGCATCTCTCTTCCAAAGGTGCTGTAGCACCCTTCCACCTGTTTCAGACGTTCAGAAAAGAAACCTATCGGTTTCCAGTCCTCGCCGTCGTATTGTTGCCACACTGCTCCCAGTGCCGTCGTTCAAGCGTCAACCATGAGACGCGTTGGCGCGTCGAAAAGCGGGTGCAACAGAAGTGTTGCGTAGGCAAGTTGAGTTTCGCGTCCTGGAACACTTTTTCGTGCTCCGCTGATCAGTGAAACTCGGGCGTTTCCTTGCCGTCCCAGCGCAGCAAGTCAGTTAGCGGCTGTAGAATGTGTGCACAGGATGAGATGAAGCTCCTATGGAAATTGATTAGCCCGAGAAACTCGCCCAACTTGCGGAAAGAGGTACCCGTAGTGAATTCCCCGACTGCTTGCACCCGTGATTTGAGCGGCAAGATGCCTTGCGGGCTGATTCGATGACCTAGGAGATCTAGTGCTTCAAAACCAAAGATGCACTTTTGGGGCTTCAAAACCAGACCATGCTCGCAAAGACGCTTGAAGAGGAGGCGCAGGTGATTTTCATTCTCCTCCGGTGTTTTGCTAGCGACCAAAATGTCCTCTAAGTAGACAAAAACAAATAGCAGTGCGCGAGTGACCTCATTCATGAAACGCTGCAAAGTTTTACCGCGTTCTTCAGTCCGTACGGCATACGAACAAATTCAAAGACACCGAAAGGCGTTGTCAAAGCCGTCTTTGTGATGTCGCTTGGTTCTACTGGAATCTTGTGATAAGCGGCCATCAGATCCAGCTTAGTGAAGATGGTCGTTACCACGAGGCGAGTGCTGAAATCATGCATGTGGGTGAGAGGATATTGGTCTGCTCTTGTCACAGCATTGAGTGCCCGATAATCACCACAAGGACGCCAGTCACGAGACTTTTTTCGGCACCATGTGCAGCACGGAAGACCAGTTGCGAAATAATGCCGTTGGAGCATGTGGTCGAACTCACGGCAGGCGACTTCGTGTCTTTGTCCAGCGAGTCTCCTAGGTCTAGCGGTGACCGGCGGTCCGGTGGTGACAATGTGATGCGTCACCTTGTGTTTGATTGGCAGTTCGGTGTTTCAGGGAATTCAGCCAGAATCTTTTGAATGTTACTCTGGGTCGAAAGTGCAAATGCCGCATGAGGACAGGTCAGACTTCAGTCCGATAACAGCGAGCGAAGTGACGTTATCTTTGAGACGACGATCGCGAACGCTGACGTCAAGATTGAAGTGGCTCAGAAAGTCCGCTCTCAGGATGGCAATTCTAACGTCGGGCACAACGAGGAGCCATCGATATGTAGGCCTGAGTCCGATGTCTATCGTCATTGACTGGACTCCATATGATGCAGTAGCAGTATTATTGGCTGCAATTAGGCTTGAAATGGACTTGCCACGCCGGCGATGTTGGGCTGCTGATGGTAGGATAGATAGTTCCGCTCCGGTATCGACAAGGAGGCGTGTGCTGATGATGCGGTCGACAACGAAGAGGCGGCTTGAACGATGGCCCGTGCCGCTTTTCGCCGTTAGCCACTGGCCGGTAAGTTTTCCGTCCACCAGCATGGATGGGTGCAGCGAATGGCTTGCTCTCTAAAATGACGGTGGTACCAAGAGGTTCTTCTCTGCCTCGCTTAAGTGTCCGCGGTGCTGCGGGTTTCGAGCACGGGACGGTGAACGATGCCGTGCAGGCAGGTGTTTGTTGAACAGGGCGAGGTTTTCAACTGCTGCAGCTAGTCGGTCAACTCTGTCCTCTAGGTGAGCTAACTGGTATGCATGTTCGGGCCTTCCCGTTGCAGCAATAGACATTTTTGATGGCTCAGTGCAGTCGGTGACGCGGTCGGCAAGTTGAGCCAGACGTTCGAGAGTTACGCCATCCGAGCCAGCGAGTATCATCCATGTTGACTGTGGCAGTCTCTGCAAAAACAAGTCACGAAGCAATGAATGTTGACGCTCTTCTGACGCTTGTTGGCCCAGCAGCTGACGCATTCGGTGGAGTAGTTGTGAGGGACGCTGGTCACCGAGCTCTTCATGAGACAGGAGTTGTTGCAGCCTGCTGTGTTCAGACACCTGAATACATTTCAGGACGGTGCTTTTTAGTTCGTCGTAGGGCTTCTCCGATGGAGTGGAGGCGAGCACATCGTCTACGGCGTCAGCGATGTCAGGTGGCAGTGCTGAAACGACGTGCAGATATTTCGACTGCTGCGATGTGATGCGTCGAAGCTCGAAGCGGGCCTCGATTTGGCTGAACCACACCCTGGGTTTTCAGGCCAGAAATGAGGAAGCTTTAACTCCGAGGCGTTGGTTGTGGGTGAGCTTGAAGTGCCTTCCTCGTCTGACATAGCTGCTGTTTCCCAAACGTCCGGATCACCACTTTGTAGCGTACTCGCCCGACGAAGGCGCGAAAAGAAGGCACCAACACTCCTTGAAGTTTGGGCGAAGACTAGTTTATTTTACGAGAAAAAGAGGCTTCGAAATCGACAACCAAAAGGGGCGTGGCTGCGTATCTTCCGCGGCCCTCTGGAGATAACGTACGGCATGTTGGCTGCGTCTGCGCCTCGGCATACGAATTGGTATGCACACACAAATAAAATCGCGATCACCGGCGTCATCGCCCGCTACAATATCAATGTTTGTGCACGCTCTCACTAATCTATGATTGAAGGCGTTTCCCAAAATATCGGATGATTTTCAGGTAGCGTGTGATAAAATAAAACCAATAAAGAACATATAGTTTTCGTTACTGTGCAGATTTCTGTGTTAGCCTACGCTCTATTACGCACTCTAGTCACTTTTTTGTCATCTATCAGTCGTTACTACTATATACTTGTTCTAAAGCAACGTCTCTTTACAATTTCTTATTTTTTATTGTCCGTGTATCTTGTAGCCGGTATCGACGCGTGCAGGATTTTATGTGCTTTCAATATTTCATTACGTCCGTTATTTTACATGCTGTAAATACTTGTCAAGACAAATCCCACATTCGTTCTTCAGGGGCCGGATTCACAAACTCACTTACGGAAATATTTTTGCGCAAGAGAAATTTTGTTGCGTAAGTCGATTCAAGAAACGAAAAAACGTCGTAAGAAGCCATCGTTGTCACATCGGCCGCTGCAAATAAAGCGCGCTGTGACTGCCCGGGAACATGTCAGCGATGGTGATGCAGTTGCTATATTTGCGTACGTCACCTAAAAGTGCTCGTAAGTGGATTCACGAAGCGAAATTGTGCGTGAAAACAGCATGGATGAGAGAAAATCCTAAGAGTGGTCCGGACCACTCCTAGGAACAACGGGGCTACTTAGAACCTGCTGCCGTGGCGGTATACTTTGGTGCCCTGGCTGGTTTTGAGTTAATTCACGCCAATTAAGGGCTGCCTGATGACTGCTGGTGCGTTTTTATTTCTTTCGGCGCTTTGAGCTTCGCGTGTTGTTTCCCTTATACGCAGTGGATGGTGTTGACAACCACCATCGTCCAATAAGTTCGAAGTCGCAGTAATTGAAGAATTCTATTGGGCGTCAATGGCATAAAACTACGCATGTAAAGATTTGTGGTTGGATGAAAACCAATGTTATAAGTGAATGGTCGGTGCATTCGAACGCGGCATGGCATAGGATCAACCTTATTTGTTATGTTGTTGTGTTGCGCCCCATCTCATCCAATTAAAAGTGCGACTCGAGATCCTTGCCTCATTGGTGGAAATTACCACCAAAGAGGTTAATGGGAGCACATTCTTTGCACGCTATTGGAAATAAAAATGAGAGGAAGTTTTCAGTGAGTGGCTCATAAAGTTTGTGCTCTAATGTACTTTCATTGGCTCAAACTGTCCAACGGTTGCGATCTCTGCAATACAGCTGCTCGATACACTTTGGGACGATCTGGAGCAAAGCGTACTTTGTAAACCAAAGCGTATTAGGGGTGCGCGTGATTACGCATGGAACTACAAACAAATCATGCATCTTCACCTTCACTTTTCAGACACCGATATGGACCGTGAGAATATGGCAAGCAATCGGAACGAAATGACCCTAGTAACTTTGTATGACACCGAAAATATGCAAACCCTCACGATTCTGGAGCAAACGTTGGCTGAATTCATCCCTGCGTCAATTACCAGCCATTTAACTTGGCGCACGAACATCAATCAAAGGTAGAGCAAGCCACTGACATGTATTTTGTGCGACGCAGCGACCACTTGACCTGAGAATAATAGCGTTGCGAAGGCGAATCCCCTGTCGCATGCTCTGATCGAAGCAGACGACAAACGCGAGCAGACGACGGCTTGGCCGACAGGCACATCTTGTGATTGGTTGAAAAGCAATACCCTCTACATCAGCTCACTCCGTGAAGTTTCCAAAACACTTCTTGCATCTAGCACGCCTGTCCTGTTCGTCATATCACCCCCCTCGCACATAAGAGAATATTTTTTCACGCCGTGAAAATAGTGCAAGTACTTTCTAAGA